TGAAACGTATGCTTCTCTATGGACTTCAATATTTCTTTGCAGCAGTAAGAACTGGTTTGTATGACTCTACTTATCATATAATATATGTCTTTAAGATTTTGATGCATCTGTAAGAACTTGTTCCTGTAATATGCACACAAATACACACATGCAGATATTAACAAGTGAACCAAATTCAAAAGCAATTCTGTTAAAATTTCATAAAGCAGGCATTAAAAATAATAAGGTCCTACCGGGAGTCGAACCCAGGTCGCTGGATTCTCTATTATATAAAAGTCTGTTCCAAATTAATTTTGAGTTAATAAACTATGGTCTTACAATTGGTGTAGTTTTGGTGAGTTAACACTAGGGTAAATCTCGTGTTTAGTACCTAAACCATCATTTTTGGTTTGTTTTAATATTTAAATTATCAATTTTGATATATTTTAATATCTAAACTTTAATTTTTTTTCAAAACATTAACTAAAGTTTAGTTTTTGTTTCATTTTAGCATATCGTCGTTAAAACTTTAGTTGTTGTTTTATTTTAATACATCCATTCAAAATTTAACGTTAAACTTTTAAAAAAATAAAAGTTTAGGTAATAAAACGGACAAAAATTTATAGTTTAAATACTAAACATGTTAAGTTTTTAATAGCGGGAGTATTAAAATAAAATAAAACTAAACGTTAGGTATGATTTTGAAAAAATTAAAAGTTTATATACTAAGACATATCAAAATTGATAATTTAGGTACTAAATGCATAGTTTACCCTAATATTTATTATATGAGTTTTAGATACTGGTATATTTTCCGTATCATGTTCTATTCTTGCTTTAAAGTCATGTACAGGTTGAGCTCAGGTTCTTCAATCTTTTATCCGACTTGAGAACAGACCACACGAGAGACCAAAAGCGGGTAAAGGAACGTGTTAGCATACTGGAACGACAGCGTACCGCCGTTGATCAACGGCTTGCCGTCGGCAGCGGAACGTTTTGGGGTTGATGAGCCGAGCCGAGCCGAGCTGAACCAGCCGCAGTTCAAGTGAATTCCCAAGATGTCGCAGCCGGTGACGCAGACGTTCACGATCTTGACGGTGTACGTCGGGATGCCACTGGGGAGAGGCGAAGTTGCTCCCTGGTTGATCACTATGTCGGCCATGCTACACTTCTCGCCTCGAATTCGATTCGATTCCTCCACCGTGGTTCCTACATACAGTTAGCTTATATGAATACAATGAAAGTACAAGGGGATTATTTGAGCAAAGCAGTAAAAATTAGGGATTCTTTTGGTAATTTAAGCCATTAAGGGGTATTTGGTTCAAGGATTGTGGGATTCTCATGCGATGGGATGGGAATTCCACATTCCCATATTTGGTTGGCCGGGAATCTCATTCCCGATAATGTTTTATTACCAATAGTAATTTTTTTAGGGTATATTATCAGGAATGTCATTACCTCCATTCCCTTAGGAATTGTAATATTACCGGCGTTTTGGACTAAAATGTCCTTAAATTTTTATTTTATTTTTTCAAAAATATAATTCATTCTTCTGTCATTGAAAAATAAAAATCCTACGAAGGTTAAATTACAAATTTATCCTTAAATTATTTTAGATTTACAAAAAAAATCTATAATTAAAATTTTATCTGAAGTTCAGAGGTTAAAAAAAAATATCCTTTCATTAAATCTTTTTTATATTTTTAATTTTATAAAAAAATTATATAAATATTATGAATTTAATTTTTTAAAGAAAATATATAAATATTTTACAATTTGTAATATTATATAAATATATAATAAGAACAATTTGATCAAATATACATTTCAATAATCTTTTATTCTTTTAACCAAACACAGTAATCTTACATTCCTGTTAAACCAACCAAACACAAAATATAATACTCTCTGATAATCTTTATTTCCACTGGTAATATTACATTATGTAAACCAAATGCACCCTAAAGACTGGTTTATTTACACCAATCGACCAATAAACAACACAAAAGTAATGTGAAAACCCCACCAACCAAACCAATAAGGGCAAACATTAACAGACAAAACAAACTGTTTTAGGGGGGATGATTTTACACTTTACAGGAATTGCAGGAAAAATAACAGAGATGACATTTGAACCTTAAGGGGACACAAATGACAGCAAACTGCTTTAAAGTTGAAACCTTTTGTGTTCATTGATAGTGAATAGTGATTTAATCGAATGACTAGTACTATTCTTTGTTTAGCTGATAGAACTAAGGTTTGTGTCGTTCAGTAATATTTGAAGTACTTTAATTGTGTTGTTCACTAATGGTTCTTGGGATATATGTTTAATGGTTTGAACCTAGTTATGAATGGATGTGCTTACTAAATGCAGGCCTCGAAGAGAGGTGGAAAGGTATCTGTGTAGAAAGATGGAGGTCCCCTACTGCATCGTCAAGGGAAAATCACGATTGGGATCGGTAATCGTCTTCTGCCTTCATCTCCAAATCTTCAGTTTATAGAGTTAAACCAAGTAGATTACTTCATGTTTATAACTACCACGACAGATCGTCCACAAGAAAACGGCCTCTGTCTCGTGCTTGACCACCGTTAAGAACGAGGATAAGTTGGATTTCAGCAAAATCCTCGAGGCCATCAAGGTAAGATTGCATCTCAACTCACCTGGTCTGACCCGACACTCGAATATCTCCACCATAAACCCATACTGTCCCACCCCAAAATATAATGAGCTTTTTAACCGACGTAACAGGCTAACTTTAACGACAAGTACGACGAGTACCGGAAGAAGTGGGGAGGTGGCGTTATGGGGTCCAAATCACAGGCCAGAACCAAGGCAAAGGAGAAGCTTCTTGCAAAAGAAGCTGCACAGACGATGACATAGAGGTACCTTTATTTTTCTTGGCTGATTAAACGGCCCTGCTACTTTAGTTTAGTGGATTTGTTTCCCCAGAAGTTTTACCTGTACTGTGTTCTGTCCTTATCAGAAATAGTGTGCTTTTGAGCAAGTTGACTATGGCATGTTTGTTCCATTGATTATTTGTAGATATGGATTTCATCCCAAATTGTCTTTGTATTTGAATTCTGATTATAATTCTGTGAATATATATTTACTATGATTTTGTGTACAATTATACCTGTATCTACGTAATAAATAGATGAAGTGATGATGCTCTGAGTCTCAACTACTACAAACATAAATGACTTGAATTTAAGTGTGCAGTTAATAAGTTCACAACAAACACATACAATTGGATCGAAATGAGCAATTTATTCCATAATTATTACACATCAATTCACTATTTTTCCAAACTTGTCGGTGATTCCCACACCATTTATATATATATGTAGTTCATTTTTAAAAATAGTTCTTCAATTAAAAAATAATGGCTTAAGGTTGATTTTTTTCTCATAATAATTCTAATTTATCATTTTCGTCTCGTTTTTTTTCATCAATTTAGCATTCTGAGTTGTTTTAGGTGTTCATCTTAGCCCTTGAAGTCCGTTGACCGTTTCGACTAATAAAACTGTGAGTCTTTTGTGTTTTCAACACTAGCAATTTCTAGATCGGTCAATATTACTGACGTGGTTTGATGATGACACGATGTTTACTTAAAAATAATAAAATATTTTCTAAATACAATGGTTAGAAAAAATCTTTAAAAAAAATGATCTAATCTTTAATCTCACTAAAATAAATAATAAAATTTTAAGAATTTATTCTAATCATTATGTTTAATAAATATTTCAACCTAATATTTTATTTTATTTTGGATGCAAACATTTAAAAAAAATGGCTGTCTCTTTTTTTCATATGTATGGGGTAAGGGAGAAGTAAGATAGTAGGTTGTCCCCAACACCAGGTTGAGAGCAGCTTCCGTAAGAGACCTCCGAATTATGAAATGCCCTCCGTGAGACTCGATCTCACGACTTCAATATTAAAAACCTTGTGCTCTACCAACTGAGCTAAATGGTCATTACTCGATATAAGTATTTTCTTATAAAACTCAAATAAATCATTTTACATTACGCGGAATAGACGGTGTCGGCTGAGAAAAGAAACAAAGTTACAAAAAGAGGGAAGAAGGGGTCATTTTCGTACATAAATAAATAAATATATTTGATACTTAATTATAAAAACCAAAAAGACAGCTACATGATTTACATTTTAAGGGCCCTCACACCAATCATCACATTCTAATTAAAAGGATATTAAAATATAGAAAAGTTTATGTCAAAATAAAAATAATTTTTAAATTTTCATCAATAAATTGTTATTATTCTTATTTTATCATTTAGATTTTGTATTTACTAAAATATTTTTTATCAATTAAATTAATATCACCAAAATTGAAATGTTAAAGATTTGTTATGATTAATCCGTCGTGGGTACAAAATAATATTTATTTAAAAATAAATTTTAATTATTTAATATTAAACTTTCACACTTTTAATATTTTTTATATTCAAATTAAAAAATTCAAAGAATAAAAATAATTGAGTTAGGACGGAGGTGGTTAAGGATAAAACATGTTAGGAAATGTGAAGCACACTTGTCCTTGCTAAGCATCCATCCTTTGTACTTTCCAAGCTCTCTCTCTCTCTCTCTCTCTCTCTCTGAAGAAATTAGAAGGTGAAAGCAACAAACAGGCTGTCCCCCATTATCCCTTTCTTTATCAACATCGTTTCGTGTTTCGAAAAGCAACTAAATGTATAAAAATTATATTAAACAAAGCTGCTTCGGGTCAAATCCCTTTCCCTTTCATTTTAATTCCTGCTGATTTTCTCATGCTTCTTTTTAGCTACTTTCAAATTGTATTTTAACGGAGTCCATGATGTCAGTGTGTCGATGACCTGAAAAGAGGAAACAGCCCTTCTTGTTTGTCTGCAACTGTAAGTACCCTTTTTCTTATTTGTTTATTATTTCCGAGTTTTCAAAAGGGTTTTGTTTTTAATGCATGGATTGAGTCTTTTTTTTTATTATATAATTGTTGAAAAGTTTCCTGTTAGGCGAACATAAACAGTTGAAAGTGAAGGATTCGTTGTTTAATGGAGTGGAACTTGAAAGCTGCTTCCTGGGATTTGAGTGATTTTGTTGAGCAAACTGTGACAAACACAGATGAAATCTCTAAAGGAGATTCCGAGGTTGATTTGGAGCTCGGTCAAGTGGGAAATTCAGGGGAAATTCCGCCTGACAAATGGATGGGGGCCGGGGTTTTGAGCATGGAGTCTTCGAGTTTTAAGAAGGCTCGAATCAACGATATCGGGACTCGTCCGGTTTCGTGCGTCGTCGATGAATGCGATTCGGACCTTAGTAAGTGCAGGGAGTACCATAGGCGCCATAAGGTGTGTGAGCTCCACTCTAAGACTGCACAAGTTATGATCAATGGACTAAAGCAGCGTTTTTGTCAACAATGCAGCAGGTGATTACGGGTTCTTGAACTTTTTCACGAGATAATTTGAACCGATTCAATTCGAATGAGAGTGTAGACAATTGTTTTTGATCAATAACTCAACGATGATAGCTAAGTTTGAATGGGGTAATGTTTGGCATTGTTTGCTTGTTATGCAAGTATGGTTTCTCTACTGTCATTTTGCTCTTTTTTCAGGTTTCACTCACTGGAGGAGTTCGATGATGGGAAGAGAAGCTGCAGGACACGTCTCGACAGGCATAACCGGAGGCGAAGGAAGCCTCAACCGGATCCCCTCTTACATTCTCGAACCGGTTTCTCCAATTACCAAGGTCAGCTTATGAGTATGATGCTTGAATGAAGTTGATTTTCGGTGCTTTTAACCATGAATGAATCCATGCTCTTATTTTATATGTAATAACCTTGTTTGAACCAATTCGAATTCCACATTTCAGGTTCTCAGATGTTGCCATTCTCTGGTTTGCAAGTATATCCATCCACTTCTGTGGTGAAAGCTACTTGGCCTAGAGCAAACGACTCCGTGGCCGAAGCTTGCTGTCTTAACCCGAAGCAGCCGATCAACTCGCCTGCAAAACAAAACCTTGTTCTAGGATCCCCTTCAAGCAACTACAGAGAAGGTAAGCAATGCATGCTCCTGCAAGGGGAGGATCAAACACCTGTGAAAGCTTCCGTATGCCAGCCAGTTCTTGGGGCTGTTGCGGCTTTCTCTGAAGGCAACGGGAGCTGCCATAGCTTGTTGCGTGACGGGTTGACACCTCAAGTTCGGGATTCAGATTGTGCTCTCTCTCTTCTGTCATCTCCACTGTCGCATACACCCGGAATCGGTTCAAGCAACACGGTGCAATCCTTGGGTCCGAGCCTGCAAAACTACATTATAGAGCCAATGGGTTCAGTTATTGCCAATGTCAGCACGACTACTACGGTCCACGGCGCAGGAATGTTTCACCTGGATTCCGGTGAATCATCTGGAAGTGAAGCCCCTCGAACTCTTCCCTTTCACTGGCAGTAGGAAATTCAAAACCTTTGCCCCTCAAACACTTCCCTTTTGTTATTTCTTTGCTCGGGTTTGGATTCAGACTTCGTTTTACTTTTTCTCAATCCGATGTTACCTATCGACTCCATATAATCAATCACTTAACGTATGATTCGGAGATGTAGAGATTCGAATGTCAAATCTATTGAACGTTGTCAAAGCGGTCTGCCATATAGTGACGGCGGTGCCTTCGGCGACTGTTATATGATCGCAATACCCGCAATAACGCCTACTATATCCACAATCACAACAAACACTATGTGAAAATGACCGCAACCGCTGTTTGTATTCCTAGTCAAATCACTCAATAACTCAGCGTTCCTGCAAATTGGAGCAGAATCCGACGGTGATCTTGTTGAGATTGTCACGGAGGACGCAACCGTTCCACACCGAGGCTCCATCGTTGACGGTTACTTGAACGGACAAGACAACGTTAGGTGTCACGTAAGCATAGACGTGTTACCTTCGGTTCCCACCGGCCGAGAGGAATTATCTTCCTTTGGCCCCTGTAGTCCTTATTCACTCGATCCGACGACGGTGATATCCCTTTACCCGCCTCCACGGAGAAACTAAGGGAAGCGATGAAGCTGCGGTGAGCAGAGAACGCCAACGCCGCCGCCTTTCTGGATATGCGAGCTGCCATAGATGTCGCCATTTCGGGTGGTAACGTAGAGAACGCTGAACAAGAGTGGAAATGGAGGAAAGAAATTTTGAAAGGCTAAACTCAGTATATAGTACATTAACTATCATTTTTAGTCCATTTTAGTACCTAAAATTTTATTTTTTTTCAAATTTATGTTAAATTTTGAACTGGTACTAAAATCAAACAAAAACTAAAGTTTTTAACAACGGGTATTAAAATGAATCAAAAACTAAACTTTATGTATCGTTTTTAAAAAAAATAAAAACTTATGTATTAAAACGTATCAAAGATAATTTAGGTACTAAAAATGTAATTTACCCAATTTGAAAAGGGGTAAAGGAGAACAGCCCAGACCAAATAAAATTATTTTGGTGGGCTTTCATCTTAGCCCATAAATTTTCAATGAGCCGAAAGGATTATAGAAATGTAAATGGCTTAATAAATAATATAGCCCTTGAATTATAGATATATATTTTTATTTTGATACCAAAACTTTCTTTGTTCCACTTTGTACTTACTCTACCATTTTCCCCAAAAAGAGTCGGTCAATAAGAACATGGTGTGTGGCACGTACTTATTGTACGTCATAAATTGAACAAAATTATAATTTAAGCATAAAAAATAGGTATTAAAATAATATATATATACAAATATATAGGGAATAAATTATATTTTATCTGTTTTCAAGTAAGTTCAACCTGTCATTTTCGGGAAAAATATTCTAAAAGGTGATGCTTATAATTAAAATTATATCTTTTATTTGTAATTTAAAAGAAAATAGTATGATTTCTTTTGGTACAAAAAAGTTTAGGTTGGCTCCCTCAATCCAGTAAATATTTACATAGGAATTTACAAATTATTCTTCGAGAATGACTATGATAAAATTCGAACTTAACTTTACAAACTCAAATTCATGAATCACAACCACTTAAATCAACACCAAAAGTGACTGTAGTAAGATTCGAACTTGAATTTACAAATTCAGATTCATGATACTAATGTTATTTGACAAAAAAAATATGATATACATATAAAGTTATATTCTCATAGCATATTAAAATGTGTGGATGACAAATATTTTATTAAAAATACATAATCATAATTCTTTATACATCTTGTGATAATTAAATATTGTTCTTAAAGCCAAAACATAAAAAGCCAGGGCAAACAATAGCAGCATGGCTCGTGTCACTGTCGGCGCGTGGGACCCCAGCTCGGCGGCCGGTGCATATATGTATCGGAATCACAGTGGGAGATCTGTTTCGTTAAAGAGGTCTTCTTCGACGATCCTGCAGTATTTCAATTCATGCATAGATGCATTTAAAAAGGAAAACAGTTCCATTTATTCATCCATGCACTCAAAACAGCCTCAGCCTGGCTAGTAAATGATTTATATTAAAATTATTGCTCATGTTTAAACAGAAATATAGAATATAATTATTTGATTACTGATAATAAATGATTATTATTACCTTTGCTGGAGCATGCTGCAGGAACTTTCACCCATTGTTCTTGAGCTGGTATTTCCTTCGTCCAACTCTTTCAACTTAACCTCAAAATCCACAGTAAAAATAATTAATTTCCTTTTTACTTCTACAAGTAGATTAATAAATTCTCATGTGTTTTACTTATTTTATTTTTGTAAAATTAGTAAATAAATACTCTTGTTTGTAAAAATTAAATTTTTTTGTTCCGAATATATAGAATAGTAATTCATTATTTAAAGTGTACAACGAAAGTCTCACTCTTTTCTGGAGGCGACTCTTCTCCTCTTGCAATTGTTTGTGCTGCCTTAAAACGCAAGACACCATTAGTTTGGAGATTTAAACAGGAGTCCGCCCGTGATAACATATGTTATATAGCGGTAGCCGTGGTCGGTACCTTCCACAACCGTTATTGTATGACCGTGATACCCATAATCATCGTAATAACACATGTTATGTCCGCAATCACGATGAACGTGGCGCGACCGAAAACGCAATTTGAATTTATGTTAAATATGTAAATTTTGTACTACTAGTGTTCTCCACTTACCCTTCTCTTCAGCAAGGTGGCGTCATCCGAAGCAATGCGTCTCTGTTGTATACACAAAATGCATGTTAACAATCGATGTCTGTAAGTATGTGTGCATATACACAGACTATAATTATCATCATTTCATTAAAAAAAAAAACTAGGTTTCCATCCTAACAAAAGTGCCTACGTGGCCATACAGGGATGGATCAAGTGGTGTTATGTATGATCGTACCCTGAAAATTTTAAATATACTCGCATCAAAGATAAACATATAAGAAAATGCATTCTGGGGGTGGGGGGGACGACTAAGGACTAAAATACCAGTTCGTAGCATCACGATAATACGACACAATCGAAAACAAATATTGAACTTACTCGTGACTGGCAAACTGGTAAACCTTTCCGGAAGAAGAGAAGAAAAGCAAGGCAACTTCAGCGTCACAGATGGACAGCTCAAAAGCTTTCTTGAGGATTCCGTTTCTTCTCTTAGAGAAGGTGACTTGCCTGTTTGTTGGGTTGTCAATTCTTTTCAACTCAACCTTCCCTCTCCCCATTTCCTTTGTATCCACCTATATCAAGTAAAAATTTTGACGCATACACTTCAATGTTTAGCCATATCTATAAAAGAAACGAAACAAAAAAACAGGAAGAGAGAGAGAGAGAGAGAGAGAAAAAAAAGGGTATTGATTATGAAAGATAAAGACATGTTTCCCATTGCATGCAAGCAAAACGATCAAGCTTACCATCATCCAATTAGAGCGTAGGTGTCAAGAGTATGTTGTCATTGGCTTTATGGGTGTTTATTTTTTGAGTTAGGCAAAAACGAGACGGCTCTGGTGACACGGCCTCACTACTCAAATGCCCTTTCATAATTCCAAATATTTCTCGATTCCCTTGTACAATGGGGTCACTATGAACCCCATCAACACCACCAACAAAAAAAACTTAAAGAAAAATCATAAACGGGGTATTTTACCTTTTAGCTTTTTCTCGCTAGTAACCTAGTTGGATACTCTTTATCTTAGAGTTCATAGAATAATACCCAAGTTGAGTCAAGTTGGAATAGAAAAAGGTTTTAACTTGATTTAAAAATGATAATTTAAAATTCAAGAAAAATGATCTACTAGAAATATGAACACGATGTCAAAAATCAATTATGTAATTCAAACTTAAGTTCAGATTTAAATAAGAACAACTAAAACGTATTATAAACTTCAATTCGAAAATGATCCAAGTACTAATCTTTAAGAGAGATTAACATTTAAGCTTTTCAAATCGATTAATTAATAAATAAAATAACCTCGTTCTAATATAATATCATAGAAATAAAACCTTAATTCAACAAAAGAAAAACCAACATAATATGGTGCAATGTCAATGTCTATAACATAAGCATTCCCAAAAGCTGTGATATACTATAATTTCACACAAATATGCAATAGTCTCAACGAAACTCCAATCATAATTTGACTAATATTAGATATAAAACGAATGGCCTACATACATCTGATAAGATTGATGCTTTAACCTTAGAGCATATATATTATATGAGATCAAGGACCATGACAGTAACTGTGGAGACTCAAATCCAATATAAAAGGTAAAAAGGCATTAGAGGTCCCTGTACTTTAAAGAAAATAATGTCCTTTGTGTTCATTTTTCTTTCAATGTGGACGGCCACAATTCAGAAAATAAATCTAATGTGGCTCTTTGACTAACGTTTTTCGTCGTTGACCATTACAGTACTGATGTGACTGTTCACGGTGTTGATTTAACAGTTCAAGGTGGCATATTAACGTGACGGATGACAGATAAACTAAATTGGTAACTCAAACATTGTTGGGAAATAAACCAAGTACAAGTAATTTTCCTATAACCAGATTAGTGAGAATGCAAAATAAAAGCGAAAAAATAATACCCGAAATTGATAACGGAGTTCAGCCAATTGTGCTTACGTCTCCGGACTGCTGCAGATCTTTTACTAAGAGAGAAAATTTACAGGTGTTTACAAAACACTCACTACTCACAAGAAAACTCTCTAGTATTGGGAGAAAGAAATGATTTTTGGGATGGTTTTGAAGCTAAATGAGCTAGGGTATTTATAGTTAAAACTTAAGGACTTAATCTTGTAAATACCCTAAAACCTAGGGATTAATTGTGATTATCCCATTATCATTTTTCAACAAACATCTACCAAACTTTGAAAAACTATTTTTCAAAGAAACATTTACCAAACTTTGAAAACCATTTTCAAAGAAACATTTACCAAACTTTGAAAATCATTTTTTCAAAGTTGGTTACCAAACTTGAAAACCATTTTAATACTTTCAACAATCTCCCACTTGAAGACTGATTTTAATATGTCTTCACACCTCGATCAATGCAACAGCTTTTCTAGTCTTGTTACTCTAGCATGCCAACTGAAGTTGAACACAACTTCAGTTTGTCTGTAGTCACCGTCTTTGTCAACATATCTGCCGGATTTTGAGCTCCACTGATCTTTTCAAGTTTCAAAATCTCATCTTCCAGAAGAGACCGGATAAAATGATATCGCAATTGTATGTGCTTTGTCCTGGAATGAAAAGACGAATTCTTTGCTAGATGTATAGCACTTTGACTGTCGCAATACAAGACATTGTTTTCTTGTTTCTTGCCTAACTCTTCCAAGAAACTTTGGAGCCAAACCATCTCCTTGCTAGCTTCCGTAACAGCGACATATTCTGCTTCAGTTGTGGAGAGAGCAACTATCTTCTGTAGTTGAGAAACCCAACTCACTGCGGTTCCTCCTAGAGTATAGACATACCCTGTAGTGCTCCTTCTGATGTCAACATTTCCGGCTAAGTCAGCATCTACATAGCCTGTCAGTATCGTATCTCCACCTTTGAAACAAAGTGCTTTGTTTGTGGTACCCCGTAGATATCTGAGGATCCATTTGACTGCTTCCCAGTGTACCTTGCCCGGATTATTCATGTACCTGCTAACAACTCCCACTGCATGAGCAATATCTGGTCTGGTACAAACCATGGCATACATCAAACTTCCAATTGTTGAGGCATACGGCACCTTCACCATGTGTGCACGTTCTTCCTCCGTCTTTGGTGATTGGTCTTTGGAGAGTCTGAAATGAACACCTAAAGCATCAAGTTGTCCTACAGAAATCAAATTTCTTTTGAGACCAGGAATATGTCTCACTCCTGTCAGCTTCCAGGTGGTCTGGTTTGGCAGCTTTAGTCCGATGTCTCCTTTTCCGACGATCTTCAAGGTTTCATCATCAGCAAGATGAACCTTCCCAAAATCACCACTGACATAGTTCTCCATGATTTCTTGGCATGGCGTGGAGTGGAAAGATGCCCCTGAATCCAAAATCCATGATTCAATCGGACTGTTGACGCTTAAAATCATGGCATCACCGGTCTCATCCGTCATGTTGGCAGATTCCTGTGCACCGGTATTTTTCTTCGGTGCTCGGCAATCTCTTTTGAAGTGGCCCTTCTTGCCGCAATTATAACAGGTAAAATCTTTATTTCTTGTTCTTGATTTTCCCCTTCTGGATTTCGATCTGCCACGATTTGAATTTCTTTCTGAAGTTCTCCCTCTGGACTCCGTGTGCAAGGCTGAGGAGGTTGATGCTTCATCCGATTCTCTCTGTCGAATTTCTTCGCTCAGTACCAGATCCCGAACATCGTCTAATTTTAATTTACTGTTTCCCGACGAACTGCCGACTGCTGTAACAGTAGCATTCCAACTGTCTGGTAAAGATGATAAGAGAATTAAAGCTCGAACTTCATCATCAAATTCAATTTCCACTGAACTCAACTAGGTTGTGATTGTGTTGAGTTCATTTAGGTGTTGTGCCACCGATGCCCCTTCCGTCATCCGCAAATTGAATACTCGTCTCATCAAATGAACTTTGTTTGAGGCCGATGGCTTCTCATACATACTGAAGAGAGCCGTCATAAGACCCGCTGTGGTCTTTTCCTTTGCTATGTTGAAAGCAACATTGCGGGATAACGTCAGTCGGATAACTCCGAGGGCTTGTCTGTCGAGAAGAGCTCAGTCTTCATTCTTCATGCCCTCTGGTTGTTTTCCTGAGAGGGGTTGATATAGATTTTTCTGGTATATAAAATCTTCAATTTGCATCTTCCAAAATCCAAAGTCCGCACTATCGAACTTTTTAATTTCACATTTCCTTCGTCTGCAGCCATCGCTCCCACTCGAATTTGGCTTCGTTTGGATCGTTTCTGACAATTTTTGCGAACCGCCGTGTATTAGAACACCTCCGTCGACAAACTCGTATCGCCGACCGAATTTCACTATTCACGAAACTCACTATTCACGTGAATAGTAACCCGAATAGTAACCTCGCAAAAAATTGACAAAATTCACAACCAAAAGCTCTGATACCAGTTGTTAGGAAATAAACCAAGTACAAGTAATTTCCTTATAACCAGATTAGTGAGAATGCAAAATAAAAGCGGGAAAATAATACCCGAAATTGATAACGGAGTTCAGCCAATTGTGCTTACGTCTCCGGACTGCTGCAGATCTTTTACTAAGAGAGAAAATTTACAGGTGTTTACAAAACACTCACTACTCACAAGAAAATTCTCTAGTATTGGGAGAAAGAAATGATTTTTGGGATGGTTTTGAAGCTAAATGAGCTAGGGTATTTATAGTTGAAACTTAAGGACTTAATCTTGTAAATACCCTAAAACCTAGGGATTAATTGTGATTATCCCATTATCATTTTTCAACAAACATCTATCAAACTTTGAAAAACTATTTTTCAAAGAAACATTTACCAAACTTTGAAAACCATTTTCAAAGAAACATTTACCAAACTTTGAAAACCATTTTTTCAAAGTTGGTTACCAAACTTGAAAACCATTTTAATACTTTCAACAAACATGACAGATCGACTGTCACATCAGCACTGCGAATTGGCACGCTAATACTATAACGGTCAACGACGAAAACCGTTGGTCAAAAAATCACATTAAGTTTGTTTTATGAGTTGGAGGACCACATGAGAGAAAAAAATACAAGGACCATATTGATTTTTCAAAAGTAAGGGACATTCGATGTTTTTTCCCAATATAAAACCATATAATATTGAGTAGCAGATGTATATGTTAACATGCTATAATCTCATCTTAAGTGGAGAAAACAATAATCTACATCATACAAAACTCGAAAGGAAATAAGCATATTGAAAGTATAAGGAACAAAATAAAAAAAATTAAAACCCTTGATTTGCGTACACAAAATTAAACTGCCAACACACGGTCAAAGAGAAGGATGCTGATATATTCAACTAGAACATGATCTGCAAGGACAGAAAACAAGATAATGCCAAAAAAATAAGACTTGCAAAATAAACGATATAATTACCGATTTAAAAGTGATCGATATAATATAAAGATGAATTGATGTGAGATTCTGTTAATGGGTACGTTTACAAACACAATAAGGTGGAGTAGCGCATATATGAACCAGCAATCAATCTACAGTGGGGTTGGGCAGTCGAGAGTTATTGGGTGCCAGTTAACCGATACAACATGCAACCTATGTCGAACAAAGTGGTGGAGGGTGGAGAGTTATCCCCTGCTAGGCATTTTCACAAACAATGTGTGGGTGATTCGACACGTATGAACCATGGTGCACCCAAATGATTATGGTGAACCCAAGTAGAGGCCAACACGTGTTGTGAAAAGCGATTGATTGAGAACGTGGAATTGGAAATGCGATTGGAGGGTAAATATAGTGATTAAGAAAAAAAAAACAATGCGTGGTGAATTGAGGGAAAAGGACAAGTTCCGCTTAAAATTCTGCTCTTATTGAAGCCTTTTTTTAAGGCTAAGCCCAATCATGTAAGGAGCTCAAACTATAACTTTTAACTGATATCTCAATATGGAAGTCTGTTAACTCACAAGCTCAATCCAAGTTGATTTCTTTTATAAAGGGTTAAGATTTCCCCCTACTATAATTCATAGATCTAGTAATTGTTTTTTATTTATAATTATTTTAATTTAAATATAAATGCAAAAAATATTAGTGAATCCAATAAAATGGAAGATTAATTTAATTTATATCATTTAAAATTATTTGTACTAACCAAAAGATTTTAATGATTAATAAATTTTTGTTATTTTTAAAATTTTTAAATTTGAGTGTGTTATTTGTAGGAGTGTCTGATTACTTTTTGTAAAATAATCGAGAGTATTTTGAATAAATATTATTTTGTATATCATTTTATATTGATTTGTTTATTTTTTGAAGGTGTTTATGTTCGATTTTTATTCGTTTTAATTTTTAGTATAATATTAATTATTTATTTTTGAAGGTGTTCGTATTCGTTTGTTTGACGTTCTTGAACATTTTTATTTAACATCCATGAACATTTTCTTTTAACATTTATAAATATGTTCGTTTAACATTTATTTAATGTTCGACAACTAACATTATTTTAGATTTCACTTTCTATTCAATTTAGTCCATATATTCGCTAATATTTAAAATAGAAGAAAAGAGATAATCAAATAAATGAGTTTATAAACAAGTCAAGATACGAGCTTAAAAACGACTCAACAAACGAATTTGTTTGTAAACATAAACAAATCAAACACTAGTTTGTTAGTATTTGTTCATTATTAAATTGATCATAATATTTTATTCATATTCATCTATTTAGCTTAATGAACGGACACATACGAATGTTTTACGAACATTTCGTCAAACTTTATATTCATTTACACATGTACCAACATCTACTGCAAGGTAAATCGAAACACAAACAAACTGCATAAAAAATCTAAAAACTAATAAATAAAAATTAACAACAATTTAAAAGAAGAAGAAGAAAAGTTTAACCGGCGTAGATGCGGATGCCGACGGCCAAAATGAGGATAGTGAAGAGGACAGAGAAGAGGAGAGTGTGGATGACAATGGCTTTGACGTTGGTCTGGAAGTTACCGAATTCGAAACTCCGATTGTTCCCCGGAAGCTGGAAGAGGAGGCCAGGGGAGAGCAGTATGAAGAGCAACAGCCCTATAACAATGGGCGCCCAATCCTTCATTGCCTACCGCTTCCAAACTGATACCATACGATTTCCTTTTTTGGCTGTGAACTCTCTGGGTCAAAACAACAAACACATGGAAGCCATTTCAAACAATATATTCGTGTTTTGCATTTGATTTTAGATTTAGATAACATAAATCATACCCACCACGTACTTTACGTGAAATTCTTTTCTTTCAATGGAAGCATCATAGTATGGCACCGAATACCATTAGATTGAAAGCTATGAGTCTATGAATGATCGATAACTTATTTTATTAATAATTTTTCCTAGTTGAGTGGAATCATTCATGTTTGGGGAAAATTGTGAAGCAAAGGTCTCTTTCTTTAGTTTAAAGAAATGTGAATGCTGGCAAAAGAAAGCAATCCAATTATAAGATTATTATCTTGTTATATTTTGGTATCATCTTCCGAAAAATTTGAATTATCGTATATTTTAAAAAAAATTAATGTTTCAGCCCTTCAAAATCCGATAGTTCAAAAATAAAGTGTCGTTCAACATCGATAAACGAAATCCGGATAGAACTAATCCCAAAATTTGATAAAATTCGTGACTTAAAAGACAATATGCACCATGCAGACATTCAAATTCATGTAAATTCTTTAGCTACGAGTATTCAATTGAGTCGAATAAAAGATTTTTTTCCCTAATCGGTCGAATTGACGAATTCATCTTCGGATGTAAATTCATGTAAGGTTGGGATCCGAATACAAACCCCATTGAAGAGTGGACAGCTCATCTTATCTTATTTGAATATATAGTCATTGTAAATAATGGCGGGAATAACGTAGTATTTGATCAAGAGGAGAAGAGACGTAGAGAGAAAAGAAGACATTTTGTGTTTTTTACATCATAAGACGTCGCCCACGAGTGATGTTACAAGTGGTTAAGATTCAGGAATTTATGGTTACAAGTCTAAGTTCAAATCTTTTCATCGTCACTCTTAGTAGACAATATATAAATTCTTATAAAGATTCTAATTGGGTCTTAGATTTAAGAAGTTATATCTACGGGCATATGTACGTTATTAATGGTTAAAAATAATTATGAACATATATTATATTATAATCACGCTAGACTACTTAAAAATAATATTCAGAATTTCAGTACCTTTTTGTTAACTTTATATAATTTTAATTACTATAATGAAAGTGGGAGAATAACATTTTTAGAATGAATGATGAATCATCAACAGGATTTGTTAAAGTGGTAAGAAGTTTGATTTCGATGTAACAAGTCTCAAGTTCTCGAGTTCTTGTGTAAGTAGAAAATTTTTGTTGGGATTCTCATCCAACAAAGCTAAGTGTGTGAATCAAAGCAAAACCTTAGAAACCGTGAGGGAAAAAAATCAAAATATTTATATAAAACTTAAAAGAGAGAGTGTTTAATTACTCAAAACAAAATTCTCCATGTTTGAACCTAAAACACGAACTGTACAATTGGGACATGAAATAATATTATTATATATAATAAACTTTGATTACTTCATTGTTTTACACGGATTGTATTGCTTTTTTTAGTTGCAGAAAAACCAACGTTTGAACCGCTGCAATTAGATGACACTACTTGAAACAAAAGCAAAGTCACCATTTCTTCTTCCTCACTTAACATGATTCCAAGATTGATACCATAACAATAAATCAATGGCGTCTTAACTGCCTTGACAGCAACCCTAGCTCCTTATCAAAAACCCACCACCATCCGTCCAAAACAATGTGCTAAAACGGCCGGGAAAGGAAGAAAATGCCTCCACAAGTCTCTAATGGCGGTGCTTCTCAGATCGGTCCTTCGGTTCAGTTATGTAATGGCTCAGGCTTACGTTCAAGTCCCAAGCATGGTGGAACAGCTACTAGGAGGATGAAATACCATGGAAAGAAGCTGCTTCCGGTTCTTGTTCTCATCCTTTCTTGCCTTTCCATTCTCAGGCTTCTTAAAATAGCAATGATTGCTTCACATTCTTCGTCTTCGTTTCAATCAAATGCACCGTCGACGGTGGCTTTAGAGGCCGACCGCCGTGTCAAAACCTCCACGGCCTCCGCCCTCACCCCGAAGGAATTCATGCTTCTTTCGAAGATCATTACACGTAAAGCGCCGTGTAATCTCCTTGTTTTCGGTCACCATTCACAGTACTTCGATCTCTCGTCAATAAACGCAAGGGGAATCACTGTTTTTCTCGACGATGATCCTCGCAAGAAAATCGAAATCAAAGCTGATTCCAACGGAACTCGAGTTTATAACGTCGAGTACCGAACACCGGCCAAGGAGGCATACGATTTGCTCAAGCATGCAAGGGGAAATCCGGCTTGTTCTCCCGCCGTAAACCTGATAAATCAATCCAGCTGCAAACTGGCACTGAGGAACTTGCCCGAAGAAATATATAAGCTGAAGTGGGACTTGGTGGTGGTGGACGGGCCGACCGGGGACTCGCCGGATGCACAGGGGAGGATGTCGACGATCAACACCGCAGGCATGTTGGCGAGAGGTACCGGTGAAACGACCGATGTTGTGGTTCATGATGTTGATCGGACGATTGAAAAATGGTTTTCTTGGGAGTTCTTGTGCCAACAAAACTTGGTTTCTGCTAAAGGGAAACTCTGGGATTTTAGAATAGCCGCGGATCAATCCAATTCTACAAGCTTTTGTTCTTCTGAAACGCTTCATGTAATGCCATAGCCTTCTTCTTCTCTATGGCTTTCACTATACTTCTGTTCAAAGGCTTGGTGTATAATTTGATTTTTGAATTTAATATTTTTCCAATGTAATTAGGTAATATCTATAGTTTTTATATTCAAAGTTGTTGCGAGCACAAACCAAATGGTCTTCACGAAATTATTATTATTATTTCTGACAATTTAAATCCGAGCATCACAAATATCAAGATAAGAATATTTAGTGTCAAGTTTAGATTACAACTTGCAATAATCAATATTATCATTCAATTAAATTTATCAAATTTAAAGGTCAATTCAATGACCGTTATTAAATTTAAGGGTAAAATACATAAATGGTCCTTCGCAACTGTTTTGTTAAGTCATCCGACTATTAAAAATTATAAAATTGTATTTCGAATATGGGGGCATTGTTTTGTTAACCCGCCTTGCTAGTAAAAGATATAAAATAGTCAATTGACTATTTATATATTCCAAGCTTGACGTTTTCTGTTAAAAAATTGAAGGTTGTTTGAGTTAGACGTTAACCTGTTGATTAGATATAATAATATATTATACCAAAATTATTTATCTTGTATATTATGGATCTACTCCCCATTTATATTATTTATTCGAGTCAATTTTTAAATTATTATGTCGTCGAGTTAATTTTTGTATTATTTAGGATCGATCAAGTTGACTGGAAGCTCAACTTATGCTCGTCCTTGTCGTCTTATTCATGGATTACATCATCTTACTCTCATATATAGAAGAATCTACTTTTACGTATAAAATATGTATGGATCACGTTGAATTTGAAAACGGAAACGCGGGAGACCGGCCATTCTATCCAACAAAGCTCATCCCGCGTTTTCCCCGCTTCTAAAAGGGAATTTACTCAAAGTTAGCCGCCTCAAATTCATCACCCATGCCGTACAATTTGGATTATGAAGTAAATAATAGATATAAAGGTTCGGAATATAATATTACCAGTGAAAATATAAGATTACCAGAGAATAAGATTACTGAAAATATTATATTTTGTGTTTGGTTGGTTTAGCAGGAATGTAAGATTACCGTGTTTGGTTAAAGAAATAAAAGATTATTAGAATGTATATTTAACCAAATTGTCATTATTATATATTTATTTTTTTAACAAGTTAGAAAATATTTATATATTTTATTTAAAAAATTAAATTCATAAAATATATATTTTTTACAAAATTGAAAATATAAAAAGGTTTAATGAAAGGGTAAAATTTTATTTTAATCTCTGAACTCCATATAAAATTTTAATTATAGACTTTTTTTTATAAATCTAAAATAATTTAAGGATAAATTTATAATTTAACCTTCGTAGAATTTTTATTATTCAATGACAGAATAAAGATATTTTTGAAAAAAAATTAAGGTCATTTTAGTCAAAACGCCGGTAATCCAACAATACCTAAGGAAAGAGAGGTAATGACATTCCCGGTAATATACCCCAAAAATCTACTATTGGTAATAAAATATTACCGGGAATGAGATTCCCGGTCAACCAAATATGGGAATGTGAATTCCATTCCTATGAGAATCTTACATTCCTTGAACCAAATAGCCCCTAAGGGTAAAGTATACAAATCATCCTTCGATTATAGGGTGTTTTAGTCCCTCAATCATCAAAAATTACAAAATGTTCCCCGACTATAGGATGTTGATTTGTTGTATCCCATGACTATTAAAAGTTATAACATGGTCATCATACTATTCATTATGTTCCAAACTCGTCATTTTTCGTTAAAAAATTGATGGCAGTCTGGATTAGGTGTTAGTCTATTGTCTGAGATATGATAAAAATCTGATACAACTCAGGCTGTCATTGCTTTATAACGAAAAAAGACGAGTGTGAAACATAACGAATAGTCGAGTGACCATTTTATAACTGTTAATACTCAAGGGACTCAATAAAGTAATAACTTATAACCGAGAGACCATTTTATAACTTTTAATAGTCGATGACTCGAGAAACTATTTATATATTTTACCCTGAATATTAATACACTCGATATCATCAAATTTAGTTAAAAAAATGTATATTTATATTCATATACAAATACATGATTAACACGAACCATTAAGAACAAAAAAATATAATAACATGAGATTTGAACAATTAATTCGAAAATAATTACAACATCACATAAATAACATAATCCGACGATGAACTTTCAAGAACAAATGAAATCATATAGATTACAAGAAGCAATGGACATATAAAAAAGAATAAACAAAGAAGGAGCCATGGAATCATTGCATCATGAGCTTGAATTCCTCGAAGTTAATAACACCATCGCCATTAAGATCGAACTGCTTGATCATGGCCTTGCATTCTTCAATGGACTTGAACTCACCGAGTTTGCTCAACATTTTCTTCAGTCCCATCGGCGTAATGAACCCGTTCCCATCGGCATCGTACATCTCGAAAGCTTCCTTCAAATCCTTCATCTTCTCTTCTTCTCCTCCTTCTTCCATCAACCCTATGAAATCCTCCAAGTCCAGTAATCCGTCGCCGTTCGAGTCCAACGATTCGATCGTGGCTTCGGCTTCGTATACCTTCAGTTCTCCGCCCATTAAGGCCAATCTGTGCCTCAACTCCGATGCCGAGATTTTCCCGTCTCCGTCTCTGTCGAAGTAGCGAAGAACACGTTCGTATTGTTCGCTTCTCAACATGTTTTGCTTTTTTCAATACGAGAGTTTTGGGAGTTCTTGGAAAATATGCAGAAAGATGAAATGATTGAAAGCTGATCGTTGGGTGATCGAAAGACAAGTTTTTATATAGACGAAATGATATGGTGTTTTGCCTATGATAATACCGAGAAAGTTCTTGGTGTTTTCGAAACTTTCCGGGAAAGTTTTCCAGCCGAGGAAGACGAAGAGGAAGAAATCATGGAAAGGAATCGGAACTTGGTTGAATGATTGAATTGCAGGGTGTTATTTTCTTATATAAATAGAATCTAGAATGGAAACAAGGACGAACTATACATTTAATGGTCAAAACCAATTTTTCCTTTGTTTTCACCCCAAAAAAGGAAATAGTTTGTTCAAATATTAATTCTTAGGGTAAATTACACAAATGGTCTCCCGATTACAGGGTAATGCTTTATTAAGTCCCTCGATCATTAAAAGATATAAAATGGTCCTCCAATTATAGAATGTTACTTTTTTATGTCCTTCATCTATTAAAAGTTACAAAATGGTCACCTTAATATTCATTATGTTCTGAACTTGTCCTTTTTCGTTAAAAAGTTTACGATTGTCTAAGTTAGACATTAATATGATTACTGAGATATGATAGTCGTTTGAAATTCTGGGATCAGACCTTATCATATCACAATCAGCATGCTAACTTTCAGCTTATACTACTATAGATTTTTCAACAAAAAAGATGAGTTTGGAACATAATGAATAGTCGGGTAACCATTTTGTAACTTTTAATAGTCGAGGGACTCAACAAAACAATACTTTACAGTTGAAGGACTATTTTGTAACTTTTAATAATCGAGAGACTTAATAAAGCAATATCATATAGTCGAGGGAGCATTTGTATATTTCCTCCTAATTTTTAAATAATTTTGTTTAAAAAATTAAGGGTTTTTTTTTGGTTTAAAAGTAAATTATTCTCAAATTTAGCAATAAACTAATAGAGGACGAAAATGTGAATCTATTTTATAAGTGGTCAAATAATAAATTAATGGTGTTTAATATAAGAGGGAAATGAAGTTAAAACTTTTATTATTATAATAATATTGATAAATGATGTAAGATATGAGGTACTTTACTTGCTATGCCTTTAAAAGTAAGTATGACATTATTACAACGTTGTTATTTTTTATGATTGGATCCCATACCATTATTAATAAAAATGAATTGCATTTGATCTCTCGTATAATTTATCTACGCGGTTAATTTTCGTTGGGAGATTCATTCATTAAAATCAAATGTACGAACTAAATCGATCCAGATTAATCAGGACGAAATCTTAAAATTATAAGAAAAAAAATATTTAAGCTAATATGAACCCATATCGTGGTATTAACAATAAAAAAGAATATTGTTTTCTCTTAAACTTATAGTGAGGTGAGACACTAGATTCATTAAATAAGATCAAATGTTCGAATATTGACATTTGTGAACGGAGCAAACTGGATTGGAAGAGTCACCCTCATCTCTTCAGTATCCAATCTAAATTAATCGATTAATAGATAAGATATCATTGATTAATTTTAAAAAAATACTATCCTATTAAGCAATATTATTTTTTATATAAAAAGATATTTTCATCCAATTGCAATTAAATCTCAAAAGACAAACTCAAATCGAAATCCATAAAACAAAAATCCCCAAAGGTGAAGTTAAAAGGCAAAATTGACTCAATACCGCCTTTAAAAAAATTAGGGTTCTAGGGTATATGTACTTTTAATTTGGATTTACGGCATTTATTATAGTTTTTAACAAACTCGTCACGTCGAGGTTACAAGTTCACTTAAATAATATTTTATATTTAAACTCGTCACTTCGAGATGATGAATTTCAATAAAATATAATTTTTTTATTAATTTTATCACATCGAGAGTAAAAGTTTGAAAATAAATATATATTTTTTATTGAAACTCGTCATCACGAGATGACGAGGTCCATATACTGTAACAAATGCAGTAAATCCCAAATTAAAAATCAAACTACCCTAATTCTCTAAAAAAAATCTGGGTTGCCGTAATGGGCCAAAATTACCGAAGTTAAATCTAATAATAAGCCCAAAACAAACTATAAATCCCTGAATTCGGACGTTTAACCGAAATCAAGAAGGACTCGATCGAACAAATAAAAAACTAACAGGAGTAATCCGAAGTTCCCGAAAAGATTTGCAGGCTGTATAAAAGCTTGAAATCCTTACAGCCTAGTCTCTCATTTCCCAGTGAACTTGATTGTTCCTGAAGACTACGAAGCTCTCTCCTTTCACCGTGGGGGTGGGTTTTTGGAGCCTTTCTTCAATGGCTCTTTACTTGTTGTTCGAGTCATCTTCTGGCTACGCGCTGTTCCAGAAGACTCGATGAAATCAGCCAGAATACGGAGGCCGTCGGGAACTCAATTTCGGTTCTGAACCGGTTCTCACTGCGTTTCAGACTTTTGAGTCCGCTCTTGATGGTCTCAATCAATGCAATTCTGTTTCCGAAGGTATCATAACATTTTACCTTTTGTCATTAGTTGTATTCTTTCGATTTTTTTTTTCTGGATATATATTTCTTCTGCAAAGGCATCTGTTAGTACAACTTTTTAAAGTTTTAGTGGTTCGTTTATGTAAGTTATCGTGTATAATTGGTGGGAGTTACTGTGATGCTAGAAATAATGGATTTTGCCACTTTCATTTGCTGTTTTTGGTGATTTCTGGTGATTATTGCTCTTGGGGATATCTGATGAACATAGAGTTTTGCCACTTCAATGAAATTGTTCAGGTTGGGTTAACTATTGGCTTATGTTCGGTTACATTGCTCAGGGCTTATGAGCGATGAGTTGAGGAGTTTTTTGGAGCTGAATCTCCTGAAAGTTAAGGAAGGCAAGAAGTCGAAGTTCAGCTTGGAAGTTGCATATCCTAAGCTTGGTTCCCACATCTCCGAGACAACTAAAATCCCATGCCAGAGTGGAGAGTTTGTTCTCGAGCTTCTTCGTGGTGTGCGTTTGCATTTCGATGTGTTTATCAAGGACCTAAAGGTTTGCATATTTTGTTATGTTTTTGAAAGGCGGTTTTTAGAATGCGTTTTCCTTATTTTCTTTGCGTTGATCTTTGTGTCTCTTCTTAAACATGGTAGCCTGGGGACTTAGAGAAAGCTCAGCTCGGTCTGGCTCACAGTTATAGCAGAGCAAAAGTTAAGTTCAATGTCAACCGAGTCAACAACATGGTTATTCAAGCAATTTTCCTTCTTGATACTCTTGACAAGGATATCAATTCCTTTTCCATGAGAGTGAGGTTTGATTTTTTTACTTAACACCAATCTTTTTCATCATTTTGGTTTAATACATGACCTTAACTAGTCAAGTTCTTTCACGGGTGTGGATTTTATATAATAGTTATCGCCTGGTTGATTACTTCCTGCAGGGAATGGTACTCTTGGCATTTCCCCGAGTTGGTAAAGATTGTCAATGATAATTATCTCTATGCCAGACTTGTAAAGCTTATAGAGGACAAGTCAAAGTTGTCTGAAGAACATCTCCCTGCCTTAACTGAGATACTCGGGGATGAGGACAAATCTAAAGAAATTGTCGAAGCCGGAAAGGCATCAATGGGTACACAGAGTTTACCAGCCTCTTATTCATGCCTGAACTGTACGACGTAAGAGTTGTGTGATAGTGAGCAACCCTTCACCGCACGGTGGTTGTGGAGCTTTGCCTTCTGAAGGCGGTAATCCTTCCGATTTCCTCTTCCTTGCTGGTGGTGGTCATTTCTTTTAGAGTTTCAGTAGTTAGTATAATTAGCTTCTAGTATATTTAGAAAAAATGAAAAAATATTATCGAAGAAGCTTATTTAGATCGCTCCTAAGGAATAAATTGCTCATAAGAAAGAAGTAGTAGCAAGATGATGCTCAGGATTTAGAGGGTTCCCATTGTTGTTTTGAATTTCTAGAAGGAAGAGATGGAAGAGACTGCTCGCCGTAGTAGCGGGTGTGGAAACAATTACCTTAGGTGTTGCTGCATTACAGGTATTCGTTAAAGTTTCTATGTAAACCTTGTTTGTTTGAAGAAATTAGGTTTTAACTTGAATTGGGTTTTGGTTTATAGGAGCAAAGCTTCCTTTATATGCTTTCAAGAAGCTGAATAAGATTGATGTTGAAAACGATGTGCTTGTAATTGAGGAGAAAGAGCCCCATGTTACTTTTCTTGACTTGCACATTCTTGGGTAGGAAACTTTTTGCTATTAGAAATAAGATTAAGATCATTGTGATAGTTGATAATCGATGTATCATACAAATAGTGAGGATGAAATGTACTTTGTAGTTTCATGATAGTGGGAAGACCGCATGCAAAGAGGACTCTTTCGTTATGATGTTACTGCCTACGAAACCAAGGTCCAATTTGGGCTCCTTTCTTATTTTCTTGCTTCAATTGTTTACCTGCAAATAATCTGGTTTTTTTTATGGTTAACTGAGTTGTTTAGGTGATTCCTGGTGAATATGGCTTCATTGCCCGCCACCTTAAGAAGAGGCCGACTGAATTCCGTTTTGATGAGGTTCTCCATCTTCACGGCATTTCTCTTACAATTTTCAGACAAATTTTGGGGTAAAAAAATGATTCCGTGTTGATAAGGTTCTCCATCTTTACGGGATTTCTCTTACAATTTTCAGATAAAAATTTTGGGCAAAGAAATAGGAATGAAAAACCCTAGGTTTAGTTTAGGGATTTGATTTTTTTTAAAGGAGAAGAGGTGACAAGGTTTTTAGGTCTCCAACGTGGCGGTCAACATAGTCAACCCCAGTCCATGTAAGCACTTAACGTGTCGGATATGTTTTTTGTCACGATCATTAACGTCTGTTAACGTTGAGTGACTAGTTTGTAACCAATCGATAATGTTAGTGATTCATTTGTAATTTTTGAAACATTAATGGAAAACAAAAGCTACCTCAAATATTAGCAACCAAAAGTGTAGTTTACCCTATTATTATATCAACAATCAATAACCCAGAATTTTCAACGCCTTTGATCTGAGTTCTAGCACTGCACAAAGTGGTGGGT